CATCGTGATAGGTGAAGCAACCTCGACCATGACAGCGTGGTTGACAGATTTCATGCAAAATTTCCTAAATTCGAATTTCACTTTCAATAATGGGGATTTGAAAATAAATTAGATGGTTACATTGCATAAACTCTTTTTTTCTTGCTTTATTCAAAATGTTTTGGTTTTGGAAGCTGATTTCAACATTGGAAAGCATAGCCTACATGAAGTCATATTATAGTAGTAACTCGATGACTATCAAATAAGTAATAAAAATTCGCCATAATTCATCAAATATCCGTGGCTTCCAGGGGGCTTCGCCCCTGGACCCCACCAGGGGCCCTAGGCGGCCCCCAGCCAAATGAGACTCGATTCGCTCCACTAGCCCCCCCCCCTCGTCGGGCCTTTAGCCCCTCCGTTGGGCAGGTCCTGGCGCCACCACTGTTTGAAAGGCACTTACTCAAAATCATGTTTATCTTGACTCTACTAGAGTACTGTACTTTCACTTTCCAATATTCTTAGGCTTGAAATGTCAAATTTCAATGGATGATCCCTTATTTTAAAGATCACATACTCAGGTATCTGAAAATACCAATAACTTGAATTTAATTTTTTCTACAACTTACCCATTTTGGCACAACATGCCTCATATTGATATAGAACTTATTATCATATTTTGATATAGAACTTTATATCATATTTTGATATAGAACTTTATATCATATTTTGATATAGAACTTTATATCATATTTTGATATAGAATTTATATTATATTTTGATATAGAACTTTATATCATATTTTGATATAGAACTTTATATCATATTTTGATATAGAACTTTATATCATATTTTGATATAGAACTTTATCATATTTTGATATAGAACTTTATACCATATTTTGATATAGAACTTTATATCATATTTTGATATAGAACTTTATATCATATTTTGATATAGAACTTTATATCATATTTTGATATAGAACTTTATATCATATTTTGATATAAAACTTTATATCATATTTTGCCAAGGAGTCTCCAGGAAAACTGGCAGCCTCCCGCACTCCAGCAACCAAACAAGAACCTCCCTTAAAATAACCCATCTACTGCAAATTAATCAAATCTGCATGTTTTCACTACTGTATTTCTCCTTTAATATCATTCATCTCACAGAAGTCAGTGTGATGACCAAGAGCAGCAAAATAAAATTAGATGTGCTAGGACCTAACTCATAGAGGCTACGGTCACACTAGAGTTTCAAGCCTGGCTTGACTCACCGCGGGTGAGATTTTCGTAATGTGACCGCATCTGCACCGACTCGCGCCTGGCGTGACCTCGATCTCAATCTACCTATCTCGATCCCGGCTCAGCACCCATATTCACCCTGGATTGACCCTGGCGTGACCGAGATTGACAATTCCTCGTCGGCTGTCAACCAATCACAGTCGATGACGCCGTTGCGTTTAGAAGTTCTTGAATTAAAAACCCGCGAGTTCTTCACGTGTGTTCAATCAAGACGCAATCGTTACTTTTCATAAAAGTTAATTCAAATTTTAATTAATAATAATGCGATTGATTTGGAGCGACCAGGAAACTGCTGACCTGGTAAATTTGTGGGGCCAACCCGAGCTGAGAGACCGGATAGAAAATAAAAAAACAAACAACAAAACGGGAATTTTTGGCGTGCTTGCTGACAGATTAGCCAGTCTCGGACATGAGAAGAGAACGACGGCCCAAATTCAAACAAAAGTGAAGGCATCGCGAGCCCAATACAAGCTGATAAAAGATCAGTTGAAGAAGAGTGGTTCGGGCACGTCTGGTGTAAAATGTTTGATTGCGATCCACCCAATCACACGCGCGTATATCTAATCCCGTGAAACAGAGTTGGCGAAACTCTCTCTTTACGGCTCTACTGTTTTGACTTTCATAATTTAGAGGTCAATCCAACTAGTGTGACCGACCCAGAATTTCGAGCCTGGCTTGAAATCTCACCCGCGGTGAGTCAAGCCAGGCTTGAGACGCTAGTGTGACCGTAGCCAGAGAGAGGCAGATATAGGTAAATTAAGTGCCTTGCCCAAGGACACACGCTGAATAAAAAGTTTGAACCACGGACCTGAAGTTGAACGTTTCACCAGCTTCTCCAAACTATTAACATTATAAGTTTAATGTCGGTGACCACATCCCTAAAGAGAGCCGGCATAGACTGCTGGCGAAACTTTGATATATTAAAGAGTTCAATACATTAGTAGCCTTACCTGTTCCTGTAATTCCCATCCTGATTCAAATTGTTGCACAGTGCATTCATCCATTCAATGACCAACATAATTATTATTTTTTTGGCACCATATATAATATTAATTTATATTTTAATAGATAAAATTAAAATGTCGCCGACAGGCTGGGCCAGAATCCTAGCCATCTCAGCACATGTCCCTGTCAGCCTCACCATGTTTCATTTTGCCCGACAAATTTTACCGTGGATTCCGGTGACTGTGCCCTGGCCCAACCGGCCCAACCAACCACTGGCTCCACCTATGTGAAACAGTAACCTCAGTCGATTCTTCAATAAAATAAAGACAACCCACAAATTAGAAATAATCTTTGCTATTCATTCTCACTAGTGGATTTGAAGACTTTGCCATTGGAGTTCTTAATGAGTGTTACAACGAAGACGAAGAGAGAACTTCTATTATTCTGCTTCGGGAACTTGACCAGTGGGGAAATGCTACATGTTTGAGTTTGGCTGTTAATGGCACAATGAGAAGGTTTGTCAGTCAGCAAGGAGTCCAGCATTTGATGTCGGAAATTTGGATGGGAAAACTTTCGAATGAAAATTCAAAGTTCATAGTAAGTTTGTTTTGAAGGAATATTGTCTGTAAAATGTAAAAAAATCTGCAGATATTATCTTTGACTCTCTTCTCCTTTTGAAGTACAAGTGGTTAATTATGGAACATTAACAAGGGACTAAAGCCATAAATAAACCATAGCTAACCAGGAAAAATCTAGGGCAAGAGCCTCGGTTAATTTACCCAAGCCACGTGGTAAGTTTAACAGAGTTGCCCTGGGAAGAATAATCGGATCGGTTTTTTTTTCTCTAGTGACATGTACTATTTTTTTTATTGACAGTTGACACTGTGTGTTGTTTGTCCACCTCTCATATGTTTTCTCATCAAATTCCGGGAAGATGAGAGTAACAAAGCAGATGATACCAACTTAGAAACGGGATCAAAATGCAAGAAACCAATTGGGTAAGCTGACCTCAATGAATTGTGTTGTTCTTACATTCAGAGCTTAAAAGATCTTTATTACAGACTCAAAGAGACAAATCTTTTAGAGAAAGTGAAAATAAAGATCAGTGAAGTCCTTAATCCAATAATATACTTTTCTGTTTGGTAGAGGTCAGAGAAATAATCAGTTTCTGCATTAAATAGTTTGGAGGCATTAAATAGTTTGGAGGCAGGAAAGAGCTGCTGTAAGTTTGATTCATCAAGCAGCTGGAGGCAGAAGGTGAGGAGGTATGAGAGCTGCCACCTAAAGAGACTTATTAGTCTGAAGTCATTATTACAAGCTTTCTAATTGGGCAAATCCTTATTTATGTATTGCTATAGCGCGCATCTGTGTGTGGTGTGTCTGTCTGCCTGTGGTGTATCTGTCATTCCTGGCACATAACTCAAAAAACTACTTTGGTGTTGATCGGAAGTAAGATGTATATTTTAGAATGCTATCTATATACCATCTCTTGCCCAGTTATACTAGACCTCTGCTATTGCCATGGAGTGTGGCCTGAGAGCTGCCATCAACCTGATGCACCAAGCGGCAATGGCAAAGTGAGACTGCCTTCAACCTGAGTGATCAAGCAGCTTGATGACATGATGAGAGCTGCCGTTAAACAAACTTATGCATCAATCAGCAGAGTGAGATCTGCCATCAACCTAATACATCAAGCAACTAGATGGATGCTTGAGAGCTGTCATTATCCTGGTGGCAGCTGGGAGTATTAAGGGATACCATTATATTCATCTCTACAGCATGTTTGTTTTTTCAGAGGTATTAATCAAGAGCAGGATAACTACAAGGATGAAAATGATGTTGACATTCGTAACAGTGGCAAAAAACTCTCCTCGTATCAACGGTTCAAACTTTTCTATGCTTCTCCAACAATTAAGTTTGCACATAACGTGGTGCGTTAACCAAATTTTGATAACCATTTTTTGTACTATGTAATATTAAAATGCACACTCAAGAACTATGAATAACACAAAAGCATCCAAGAAAATCAAGCAGGTGTAATTTAAAAAAAATTAATGTAGTAATAACACAAAAGCATCCAAGAAAATGAAGCAGGTTTAATCCGTTTAAAAGTAACGTATTAATGGGGGTTTATTTCTTTGCTAAAATCAATTAATCTGTGCAGGTTTAATACGTTTAAAAGTAACGTATTAATGGGGGTGTATTTCTTTGCTAAAGTCAATTAATATTTTCATTTAATCAAATTAGTTGATATCATTTCTAATTTTTGCATTTTATCATTTCAGATATCTTACTTTTTATTCCTAGTGCTTTTCAGCTACATCATGTTAAGCTATTCCGAAAAAATGTCAGTTTGTCAATATGTTCTTGCATTCTGGATGATAACACTATTTACTGAAGAGTTCCGACAGGTTGGTTAAGCCCTTTCCAGACTATCAATCTGTATTTGTGACATGCCTAAATATGGTCATAGTGACATGACATCCTAAGCACAGAGTGTCTATAGGCAAACAATAGTTTTTTGTCAAAAATAAAGGTAGTTTGGACAAAGCTTTAGGCTGTCAATAAATATCTGTTCACAAACAGAGCATGGGAAGTGGAGGATGCATGTGAAACAGTAATGAAAAGTAAGCTACTGTATACATAGTTTGCCCTATATAATAATTTGTTCTTGTAATTTTAGATTGCACAAGGAGAGTTTCATGGATGGCGGTTGCGCCTCTTATTTTGGATCACTGACTACTGGAATATAGTGGATCTAGCATCCCTGATTTTGTTCACCGTCGGATTCACAATGCGATTTTATAAAGAAACGTTTGCTGCCTCTCGTGTCATTCTTGCTATTGACCTCATGATCTTTTACATTCGCCTTTTGCATGTTTTTTCTGTCAATCAAAATCTTGGACCCAAATTGATCATGATTGGCAAAATGGTGAGTTCAACATTTCACCTTTATTCAAACAGTAAGGTTTTGAAAAGATAGTAAAAGTTAATTGTTATAATCAGAATTGTTCAGATCATAATTATCATCAGCATCATAATCCCATCATCATCACTATTGTCATAATAACTTTGAATTTTCATCACCATCCAGTCTGTGGGCTTATGTAAAAAAGCACAATTTCTATAGATTCTTGGCAATGTGTCTGAATATACTACTGATTAGGAATTAAAAGCAGTTGCCAGTTTTGGCAACCACTTTTGTTGTTAAATTAGAATGCAACCACATCACTTTTTTCCAGATTGATAGCATTCATAGAGAGTGTGTAAATCTCGTACAGTGATCTAGATGCATGAATTTGCGTATTAACAAACATTTCATGCCACCACCCACAACTGACAAGAGCACAGTTATAAAGCTTCTGAAATATACTGTATGGTATCTAATGACACTACTCAAGCTTCTGTACATGCCAGTGGCGTATGAGTGGCAGATCCAGGAATTTGGAGGCCCTGTTAGCAACGTTTACAGATGGAGGGTTACACCAGTTGAGCCCCACCATTGTTGGGACTGAGGTACAAAATGTTATGGCCAGTGGCATAACTACCGCAGGTTCAGCAGGTTCGTCGAACCTGGGCCCCCGAGCTCCAGGGGCCCCGTTCTATAAGGACTCTTCCCCTTATAAAAAAAAAATCTAATGAAGCAAACCAACACTTTCCCATGTATTTTCCCCGAAACATTAGTTGCGCCCAAATGAAGGTTTTATTTTTGTTTAAATAGAAAAACCAACAAATCTTATCCTTATTTGAAGTAGGTGTGACCACGAAATAATAAAGGGACTATGTAATACCATGGAGGAATAAATGTTATGGTAATACCCTATAATACAGTGGACTGCTGTAAAATAATAATTTTGTATGTTTGAAAAGTGTGTAAATGAAAGAAATAAGAATATTTTAAGACTGAAATTGGATAAATATAAGAACGCCGAGCCTGGGCAAAAATTAGTTCTTACCAATCAGTCTTGCTACTGTATCTTATTGCACTAGGCTAATGAATATCGTAGGAATAAATACTTCCTTAAAATTAAGTAAAATAAAAAATTGTGTAGGCCTAATTGAAATAAAATGTGAGAAGATATAAAGGGCGAGGGGAAAGTCTGGGGGAAGTGTCCTGGGAAACAGTTGGGGGGCGGGGGGAAATGTCTGGGGAAAAGTGTCCGGGGGTATATACTGGAGAAAAGTGTCCGGAGGAATATACCGGGTGGAAGTGTCCGGGGGAAAACCAGCCTAGAACCATTTATCGGATAACTGTTTTTCATGATCATGGTCATACATAATCATAATAAATTTATTTTAATTAGTTTAAGTATATAAAACTAATATACAAAATGACTGTTGACATTGTTCAATGCTTAATCCGGTAAATTAACTACACCAATTCAGTAAATATCGAATGTTCATTTTTTTTTTTTTGGTCATACAAAGTAAAAATGCTTATTATTGCCAATGCTTACTATTCCAATAGCTGGCTCTTCAATATGCCCTCTGAGAACGTCTAAAAATTTAAAATTTAAAAAAATCGAAAGATTTATTGTCAAAATAGTATTAAAAAAATCGTAGGGATCCCTGCTCTTAACCACATTGGTGGTACATATATTAGTTAGCATGGTCAGTCAATTTGCATGTGTCACGGGCCCCGACTATACTCTTGAATCTGGGCCCCTCACAACCTAGACGCCTCTGGTTTAATATGGCTATGGCAACTCAGGTGGCTGGAAATGGCACAATCAGACTTGGGCCTAAATTTGAAAATAATTTTCATTTATCTTTATTGGTGGGAGGGGGGTTGATTGGGTACTAATTTATGTGGGGCCTCATGATTACGTTATGGGAGTTTCAACTGGCAAATAAGATGATTTTTAACTACCTGAGTGTAATTTCTTTTGCTGAACACTAAGAATCTACCCAAAAAAATAACAAGCCCGAGTATTCATAGCAATCTTTATTCATAACATCATCACAATTGCTGCATCGTCATCATTATCACTGTCTTCATCTTCAACTTTTTACATTTGTTATACTTATTTGAATCTATATTTGTATCCTCTTTCTGTAGATGGTGGATCTAGCATTCTTTATGTGTATATTATTTGTGTTCCTGGTAGCATACGGCGTCGCTTCCCAAGCCATTATGTTTCCAAACAGAGATGGATTTATACCAGTGATCAGAGGAATATTCTTTCATTCATACTTCCAGATGTATGGAGAACTTTTCCTGGAGGACATCATAGGTAATAATTTAGCTAATGCAGTGTAGTTAGTATTATTCAGAAATCATTGATAATATAAGAACATTAGTTAGATTGAATGGTTATGGATGAGAGGCCTATTTTGATGTTGTTTTATTAGCAATTAATGAACATGATATGATAAAAATGTTACATATTGCAGGGATGTAAGCTAGGTTTTAACCATGAAAAATCTAATGTGATGGTCGCTGGAAAATCGCATTAACCGAGAAAAACAATGGAAAATTGGTGACAAATTCATAAGAGATAGATTGCTATAAATATTTGGGAGTGATAATTTCCTCAAATCAAAAGGAACACAAACCGCTACCAACATGTCATTTAAAAAGGAAACCGTTTAATTTCGTATATTAAAGGTATAATTGGAAACCTTGATAATTTTAATAGGGTCTACGGCAGTATTCTATTTTATTTCATTTTATTTATTTATTCCACTTCACACAGGCAAAAATACAATAAAATATCAATGAAATAAAAGATTGCCGGTGACGGGAAAAGGCCAACAGGTAAACAAATCACACCTCTGATAGCGGCTGATCCCGAATTGCACAGACCAAGATATAAAAAGGATTCTCTGGAAGACAGTAGCGCTTCCCTCAATTAATAATGCATGTGGAGTATGGCATAGCAATTCAAAAAAAGATAATAGACTTAGAAATACTACAGTTACAAATGGCCAGATTTCTACTTAAAGCTCCTTGTTGTACACCGCAAGAAACTCTATATGGTGATTTAGGCTGGGGCCCCATTGTCAAAAACGCATGAAATTACTAAAATTAAATTCCTTAACTGTGTAATAAATATGAATAAAAATCGGTGGCCAAATACTCTACTTCTTTGCATGCTTCAACTGAACTCCAATTTTAATGTGTTGAATTACAAATTTCTTGATTCATGTAAGAACATACTTGATAAATGGACAGATTTAAATATGTTTGAACAAGTTTTTGATTTAGACAATTTCAGTTTTCATTATTTTTCTGTTAGAACTGTAAATACACATGTTGCAGACTTGTACAACATTGAATGGGAAAACCAAATTAACCATAAAGCCTTCTCTTTAAAAAAATACTCAAATTGAAATCCTGTCTCTTATACACATCTTATCTTATTGCACTAGGCTAATGAATATCGTAGGAATAAATACTTCCTTAAAATTAAGTAAAATAAAAAATTGTGTAGGCCTAATTGAAATAAAATGTGAGAAGATATAAAGGGCGAGGGGAAAGTCTGGGGGAAGTGTCCTGGGAAACAGTTGGGGGGCGGGGGGAAATGTCTGGGGAAAAGTGTCCGGGGGTATATACTGGAGAAAAGTGTCCGGAGGAATATACCGGGTGGAAGTGTCCGGGGGAAAACCAGCCTAGAACCATTTATCGGATAACTGTTTTTCATGATCATGGTCATACATAATCATAATAAATTTATTTTAATTAGTTTAAGTATATAAAACTAATATACAAAATGACTGTTGACATTGTTCAATGCTTAATCCGGTAAATTAACTACACCAATTCAGTAAATATCGAATGTTCATTTTTTTTTTTTTTGGTCATACAAAGTAAAAATGCTTATTATTGCCAATGCTTACTATTCCAATAGCTGGCTCTTCAATATGCCCTCTGAGAACGTCTAAAAATTTAAAATTTAAAAAAATCGAAAGATTTATTGTCAAAATAGTATTAAAAAAATCGTAGGGATCCCTGCTCTTAACCACATTGGTGGTACATATATTAGTTAGCATGGTCAGTCAATTTGCATGTGTCACGGGCCCCGACTATACTCTTGAATCTGGGCCCCTCACAACCTAGACGCCTCTGGTTTAATATGGCTATGGCAACTCAGGTGGCTGGAAATGGCACAATCAGACTTGGGCCTAAATTTGAAAATAATTTTCATTTATCTTTATTGGTGGGAGGGGGGTTGATTGGGTACTAATTTATGTGGGGCCTCATGATTACGTTATGGGAGTTTCAACTGGCAAATAAGATGATTTTTAACTACCTGAGTGTAATTTCTTTTGCTGAACACTAAGAATCTACCCAAAAAAATAACAAGCCCGAGTATTCATAGCAATCTTTATTCATAACATCATCACAATTGCTGCATCGTCATCATTATCACTGTCTTCATCTTCAACTTTTTACATTTGTTATACTTATTTGAATCTATATTTGTATCCTCTTTCTGTAGATGGTGGATC